GCCTCATTCTTGCAGATGCTGAATGTAATTTCAAAGTCAAATTATCCTCACTCTTTACTCGTTTGTGCAGAAAAAAGATGCAGCAGAAGAGCTGGCTCCGGTGCTGCTTGATGGCCTGAGAGAAGAGAGCTTGCAGTTTGTGTCAAAGCTAAAGGTGGGTGATGCCGGATAATTGTTTACTGAGTCAGTCGCAGCTCTTTAATACCAAGTTTAGCAAAAATGCAATAAAACCCACAGACTAGCTATCTGAACAAAATAGATTGCTGTCTCATTTGATCGGTTCTGCCTTCACTTGTGGTAAAGCACCCTGAGAGTTTAGACTGCTACATATCTGACTGACAAAGAATTTCAGTCTTTGTCTCAGAAAACGCATGTCTGAACGCATGCAAATGTCTTAACAACAGAACTGCTGCGATTTTCTGCAGCCCCAGGTAAAATGATCTCAGCCCTTGTACCCCTGTTGCCTGCCCTGTGGCTCCTGTGGCGTCCTGGCACCATTTCGGGCACCAAGCCACCCAGTAAGGAGCAAATTCAGTGAGGGGCTGCAGCACTGCCCAGTACACGTGTTGATGTTCACACCCTTCTGGAATGGAGCCTCACTCGTATGTGCCATGGCCAAGGCAAATCTTGCCCAGCACGGTTTGCCCAGCTGAGCCACCGGGTCATCTTCTTGCAGTGGTGTCCTTCCACTGCCCTGTGTCTCGTAGCGGGTGAGGAACGGTTGGCAGGCAGGGAAACATCTGTGGGAAAGCCCACTGAACTCCAAATGAGCTTGCCGGGGGCTGGGTCGCTTCTAGCTTTTCCATACCAAAGTGCAACGTTTTTCTCCAGAAGCAAGCCTGGGGCTTGGCATAACCAGCCAACAATAATATGGCTGAAAATAAAAACTTTTTTACAAGAGAGAAGGCCCTTTACACTCAGCCTGTACTACTGCGAGTCCTGTCTCCCCGTTGTGCAACAAGAGAAGCGAGTGATGACTGCAGGTGGGTGGCACTCGGGCTTTGTTGTGGCCGTGCCATGGTACCCCCAGTCCTGTCCCACGTCTGGGCTCTGCTGGGTCGCTGTCGTTCCAAATGACAATTTTTGTGAAGTGAGCCAACATGTTTGCTGCTTTGAGGGTGAAACCCACCAGGCTTGTTCTCTTTGGTGTCTTACTGCCTCTTTGCTCAAAATTGGACATCGTGAGCTTAAAGCTTTAGCCTCAGGTTCTCATCACACTTGAATGTCAAGCATTTTTCTCAGTCTGAACCTCCAGGTTAGATAACTGTGTCTATCAGAAGAAAACCAGTGCTGCTTTGTTTTGGACAGGATTCAAGTTCCTGCGCTGTGGATGTGAGTGCCATGTGGTGGGAAGCAGCTGGCAGCAGAGCGCTGTGCGTGGTGACTGCTTGTGAGAGTTCCGTCTGCCTCTGGAAACCTCTGGCGTCCGACCGCTGGGCAAAGCTCTACACTTGGCAGCTTGGAGAGGTACGACCACAGTCCTTGTTTCAAGAATTTAGGGCAACTCTCTCATCCCAGTGTGTTAGTTCCTAAGGCACAAGGAGCTTGCAGCCTTGGGTCCAAGGTGAGTTCTTTAGATGGCATATCTGCTGGGATTTGATACTTGGTGTACTGGATGGTGCCTGCAGCCAGTGACTTGTGCTCTTTCCCCTTGTGCTCCCTGGAGATGCTTTTTGTCTCTTGTGTCAGCAGGGATTGTTAATCTAAGCGTGCTTCTTCAGATGGGTTTGAAAATTAGTTCTGTTCTACGTCATCTTACTTGAAGCACCCTGGAAAATGGGAGTAAAGTCAAAGGGATGTTGTGGGTGACACTGAATTCTTGTTTTGCTGTCCTAGATTCCTGTAATACAGATCGTTTCTCTGCCGGACACCTGTAATCTCGTGTGTATAGCACTGGGAGATTTGGAGATTGGAGAAATAAGGTGGTGTATTTGTTTCTTACTAGTGCTTTGCACCCTGAGTAGCTGCAGCTTAACTCTCCTCTTGCGTAGTGGTTGAAATTCTCTCTTACTAATGCGTCGCTTTCTCAGTTGCTTTAACAGTTGGAAACTGTGGAAGGGGTTTCTAAAAGTCAACTAGAAAGACTTGCTTATCCACTCCTAGAGGTGGCAGACCGTTTAAACGTGTGCTTATTTTTAGATGCTATGGCATGTTGGAGTTCTGCTTCCTTCTGTCATTAGGCGTACTTTTCTCTTAATTTAGGCTCTTGCTTTATTCTTCTGAGAATGACTCATTCAAGCAATCACTGGTGAAAACTGGAAATATAAAAGCTGTTCTTGGGCTGAAGGATAGGAGGCTGGTCAGCAGCAGCAGGACCGTGCAGGAGCAGCAGGTGGAAATAGTATCGCTTTCAGAGACAGGAAGGTGAGTCGGCTGGTTTTGGGGCGGTCTCAGTGTGGCAGGTGGAAGAAGAGTAAGGAAACATCTCAGATGTGGCAAAGTGTCAGGTTCCTCTTCTTTCTGGAGATGTGCTGAGTACGGAACACATGCTGGTTATTCTGACTGCCTTTTCTCACTCGCTAATCTACTGTTCAGGAGCAAGGACGGACAGACTTTGATGCCCCCTGAAGAAACTGTTCTAGCTTTTGCTGAAGTAGAAGGACTGAGAGACGCCTTGGTTGGCACCACTGCAGTGAACAGCGTTGTTGTTTGGTCAGTGTTTCCTTGGCAATGAAGTGGGTTCGCAGCAGCTGTACGTGGTGGCTGGGACAGCCAGCTGCAGGCGTCCTGCAGGGGTGTTGGCTGGCAGCTGATTTGCTCATGAAATGATAATTGTCGAAGGGCTACAGTCTGGCACTTGAGCTTCTTGGATAGATTGTGAATGAACTATGCTGCTGTAATTCCACTTGTTTTGCATCGTGTCCATTACATCTCTTCCTTTGGCCTCTTGTCGTGGTTTGGTTTACGTGGAACCAAAACTGTGTCCGTCTTGCATAGCAGTGTAACTATGATTAGAAAGTAAGACAGGATGGAAATGCACTCAGAATTGGTATTTTCACCAACTGCAGGAATCTGAAAACAGGCCAGCTCCTGAAGAAGATGCACGTTGGTTATTCCTATCCAGCTTCCATCTGCCATCGAGCGTATTCTGACTCTGTACGTACGTGAAACACGACACGCAGTTTGTGCACGGACTGCCCTGACTAGCTGTGGTGGGGACTGGGAGGATTAGCGTTCCTAGACTGGGTTGAAATATCGGCTCTGTTTAGATACACTGAGGATATTTCAAAGGGAAATAGGTAAACTGGGAGAAATAAGCCACTCTGGCCACCTCAAACTCTTGGCTTTCTGCAATGCACTAAGAAAATGAGAGTGATGCATCAAAGCCTATTCCAAAGCAGCAGCATCTTGGATGTGGGAAGCAGAATACTGTTGCCCAGTGCTGGTGCTTGGTAGGTCTCTTCCATTTCACAGGCTGCCAGTGTGGTGGTGGCACACTGTTATGGGAGACACCTGTGCTGTGATTCCAGACGGATTTTTGTAGTTTATCAAGGATTTGATTGTTTCCAGTGAGCACTTGACCTTTTGGGACAAGAATGACTTGTCTGATAATGATGGCTTGAGTCAGACTTTGGAGACTTCCTCGGAATATCTGTCCCAGCATGCCTGGTGCTGGCCCATGGCTGTTCTGGGAGCCGCTGTTCTCAGCTGTGCTGGTTTGCATGGAATTCTTGTTAAATTTAAAAGCTCCTAGGGAGTAAAATGAGCCCAGAAATTTTACTTCAAATGTCATCTCATCCTACAGCAAGTTTGGCTTTTTCAGACAGAAGGATAAATGCATAAATCCGTGCACTTATCTGAGCTGTCATTCTCTATTGCATCATCTCTTATCAGTCAGCAGCTGCTTTGGTTTTTATCTAATTTGATAAGGAAAGTAAACCATTTCTGTTTTATAATAATAACATAATGAATCATGCATCACATCACGCATAAAAATAACGCATCACTCTCCACAGGGCTTTGATTATAAAGAGAATGCAGCAATTGATAAGGAAAGTAAACCATTTCTGTTTTATTCATTAAAATAACATAATGAATCATGCATCACATCATGCATAAAAATAATGCATCGCTCTCCAGGGGGCTTTGATTATAAAGAGAATGCAGCAGTTAATTCTTGGAAAATTCTTTGGGTTTTTTCCCCTCTTGCTGTTGTTTTTAGTGATGTATTTTTTCCTTTGTGCATCAGGGCCTTCTGTTTGTTGTTTTGAGTCACCCACATGCCAAAGAGAGCGAGTCCTGTGGAAACCCTGCGTTCCGCGTGGTAGCGTTCAACCCCAAAACAGGCAGGAGCACCGGGGTGATGTTCTCCTCCCTGCCACCCGGGCACACTGGAAGGTAAGTACCCCGGGACTCTGCGTGCTGGCTCCACGGCTCCTCTGGGTGGGTTTGGGGGCAGAGTCGCTGGAAGGAGCGGAGGAGCGCTGCTGGCGAGGATCCATTTGCCATGCTGCCCATGATAAGGAGGCTGCATCCGCCGCTGCCGTAGGGGCTGGAACGGGGGGAGGGGGTTGGCCGTTTCCTGCCCGCTTCCCGCGCCAGCCTGCGCGCTGACCTCTGAGCCGCCGGCGTCGCCGCGTGGCGAGGGGCTCCGCTCACCAGAGCGCAGCTGGGAGCACTGGTTTTCTGCCTGCCGCATGCTTTTGTCCTTCTGCCCCCACAACGTGGTTGTGGAAATGCTGTAACTGGGTCCATCAGGGCAAAGCCCCCGAGAAAACCTCTGCAGAGGAGAGGTCCGGGCTGTTGAAGCGCTTTGCGCCGTTTATTTATGCTGAGCAGCTGTTTGCCGTCGGACGACATTTTCCTTCCTACGTCTGGCGTTTTGACACTGAGCTGTTCCAGGCTCGGTCTTGCGGGGCACTTGCATCCATCATGGTGCCTCCTGCGCGCACAGGCGTTAGGGGTTGGGGTCGTGGCTCGTGGAGCAGCTCTCCAGTGTGTGCGGGAGCTGTGGGAAGATTGTCTTGACGTCCTTTGTTCTTGGGTGCACCGAAGGTGCAACGTGTAACACAACCTGGTGTAAATTTGCTTTTTAATTTTCTACAGAACAAAATAGCTCGTTTTAAAACCTGATGTGATAGTTTGGCACAGGGCAGCGTTGTGACCCTTCTGTGTCCGGCCTCAGGTACCTGGAGGGCGACGTGAGGGACACCTGT